TTCTCCTTCTCCCTTTTCCGGGAAGGCTGACTGGTAACCGCACGTAACCCCACGGTTGTGCAAAGCAAGGGGGAGGCTGCCACATCTGCCTGCCCGCGCTCCATCCCGGCCCAGCCGGAGCTGTCTCCAGGGCAGGAAGGGCACTGGGAGCTCTGTGCCAGCCCTGCTTGTGCTCCTGCAAGCGGGTCCTGTCCGGATCCCGGTCCCTTTATGGGCAGGTGTCCCTGGGAGCACCTTCCTGGCATCCCTCCATCGCAGACCCAGCAGTGTGGGGCCGTGTCCTGGGACAGTGCAGGCAGAGCCTGCTGTGTGTCACTCGGGGGCAGCTCCCCGGTGCTCGTGGCCACGTCAGCATGTTTGTGCTCCACGGGGCTGCTCGGAGCTGTTTACAAGCATCAGACCCAGTGACGGCTGCTCCCTACCTCAGGACTTTATTCAAAACATCGTGTACTTGATGATGGGAGGTTTTGCTTGATAGCAATGTAGCCTTTACCCTCGGTCAGGAGAGCTTGCAGCGCAGATGGACTTTGCCAGGCAGATCACTCATGTACTCCTGCGGCCAGATTGTGGGAGGGCAGGGAGAAGTCATCTGATAAAAGTGAACATCCTGGCCAGCTCTTCCAGCAAGGCTGTGCTGCTGGAACGGCCCTGTGGAGGCTGGGGAGATGCTTCTCCCTCCTCATTGTGCAATGAAGGGGGCAAGGCCTGGAGGAGGTGGAGGGGAAGGCAGCAGGGCTGGGAAGCAGGCTGAAAGGGTCTGGCTCCTGTCCCCTGGTGCCTCTGCCCCTCTGATTTTAGGCTGCTTTTGTAGACCCCATCAGAGGCAGATAGCATTGGGGTCTTTGGGATCTCAGCGCTGGGAGGAGTAGCCTGTCCAAGTGCCACCGGGGGGACCCTGGTGCTGCATCACTGCATGAGAGCAATGGGGGTCCCTTTCTACCACTGACTGTTCGTGGTGTTGCATCTCAGCCCTGTAGTTTGCAGTGAGAGCTGCAGGTTCCTCGCACTAACCTGGCCTTTCTCTGTCTTGCCTGCCTTTGAAGAGTCCATCGTAGGGAACTGTATGGACAGGAGCTCCCCCGGCCAAGCCATGCAGGTGCCTGACCACAACGGGCTGGGCTACCCCGTGCGACCTGCCTCCAGCGAGCAGCCGCGGCCCAGGACCCTGCAGAGACATCACACCATCCAGAACAGTGATGATGCCTACGTAGGTTTGACGCAGCACAGAGCTTCCTTCCTGTGGGGGTTAGGTACCAGGGGTCCTGTAGGACAGGCAGCACCCGGCTCTGGGGGGTGCTGGCAATGGAAAGCCCCATGAAACACTTGAGGTAGTGAACACTCTCGCAGAGATCCATGTGAAATGCTCCTCCTCTGCTCAAGGGTTGCCCCAGGGTGGCTGCTGCAGTGGGGCAGCTCTTTTCCCCCCATGTCCTCTGGTGAAGCAGCCTGGGAACTGTCCTGTCCAAAGCTGGATGTGTTCTCTGCCCTACGTGAGTAGGGCTCTGCCCTAGTTAGTGCAGTGTGGATCTAGAAGGGACTTGGCCTGTCCAGTCCATTCTTGTGTTGAGGGGACAGTGGCTGCACCTAAGCTATGCCTTATGGTGCATGCTTTTCACTTGTGCTTAGAATCCCTTGCTGAAGGCTTCCCAGAGCTGGGGCGGCAGAGGGATGCTTTGTCCCGATCCCCCTTTGACTTGCGTGCTGCTCTCCCCGCAGGTGCAGTTGGATAACTTGCCTGGAATGAGTTTAATGGCAGGAAAAGCACTCAGCTCTGCTCGGATGTCGGATGCTGTCCTCAGCCAGTCATCACTGATGGCCAGCCAGCAGCTGCGTGACAGGGACAGCGATGGTAAGGACCTGCCGAGCTGCAGGGGTGCAATGGGGGGGTCTGGGCCAGGAGCTGAGCGCACCAGCTCACAATCTGGGGTGCACAGCACCTCTCCTCCAAGAGAGCAGTGCCTGCAGGGAGCAGGGGAGGGTTGGGCACCTCCTGTGCTGACTCCAACGCTGTTCTTTGCCCTTACAGAATGTGGGGAGAGTTTGGAAGGTCAAGAGCATCCCAACCTAGGTGATGGCAGCCAGCATCTAAACACCTCCTGTTACCCATCGACATGTATTACAGACGTCCTACTGAGCTACAAGCACCCAGAGGTGCCCTTTGGGATGGAGCAGGCAGGGGTGTAACCAGGAGGGAGTGAGTATTCAAGTGTCCTCCTCTGCCCAATATAGGGTCAGAGCCCTGTTGTTTAGACTACCCTGTGTCCCATTCCCTGCTGCCTTGCTCCAGGGCTGGTGTGAGGCTGGGAATTGACCAGCAGCTCCAAGCTCCCATGGCTGTGGTCCCCTGCTCATCAGCAGGCTCCTACCAGGCCTTGGCTGCTCTGTCAGAGCCCTGTGTCTCCCCCCCAGGGTGTAGCTTGTGGTTTGGGATTGGGAATGGGGTTGGGGCTGTGGAAGCAACGCTGCCGTCCTCTGGTGTCTCCTAACACCCCTGCTTCTCCTCTCTTGCAGGGTTTCTGTACAGCTTTGAAACGAAAAGGTCCATTTTAAACCAACAGTATCTAGCAGCATTGCGCCAAATTGCCGTAGTATTTCTGACTAACTGGAATACCATGGCCCCTCTCCTCATATCCACGCCGCCAGCCTGCCCTGCCTTTGGTTTCTTTCCTTCCTTTGCCATGTTTGCCTGGAACTCGCACCGAAACAGCCAGAGCCGCCATGGAGCCCGAGCACTGGGGCTGCTCGGGAGGGGTTTCGCTGCCCAGGGAGCCGGTCGGATCCTGGATCCCTCATCCCGTGCCATCCTCCTGCTCTTTGTCCCTGTGCTCTGGTGAGGATGAGGATGAGGACGGGGACGGTGCCGGCCCTGCAGCAGATCCCACGCCTCCGGCCGGGAGCACCCACCCTGGTGCAATACGCTTCTTGTCTCATCCTGGTCTGCTTTGGTTCCTCCTCTCCGTCCGTCCGACCGCCCGTCTGTGTCTGTCCTGCGCTGAAGGATCAGCTCCTCCTGCCCCCGGCCCCCTCCTGTTCTTTTCCAACCTGCATCCCACTTGGGGTCTCTTTCTCCTGGCTTCTCCGTAGGGAAGACGGATTTTCCTTTGTCTCCTTGGCTCCTCCTCCCGACCACGTAGGAATTGTTTTTTTTGGTAAATGTTGTTTTATTATTATTGTTATTAATAAAAAGGCAAAAGGAATTTCCGTTTGAGAGGAATTTTTAACCTAGATTCTGTTCTGTATCGATTGTGACTTGCACCTTCTGTTCAAAGGATTTTATTTCCCCCGATGACATTGTACTTGTGACTGGTTTTCCCTCGCTCGTGCCAGTGGCCGCAGTGGTGTTCTCCTGGATGCAGTTGAGGCGCGCGTCGGTCTCCCCTTGTCCCGCTTCCCCCGTTCCCGTGCGGGCTGGGGGGGCCGTTCCCTCGGGAACCCACGGCTCCGCTTCTCCTTAAGGACACTTTTCTGGAATCTTTTATAAGAGCAAATCCCCCCCCTGCCTCTGCACAGAAGGAAGCGTGGGACCAGCCCGGCACAGCGGCATCGCTGCCCTCCCATCCTCACCATGCCTCGGCCCGGCCTCCCCCCGGCCAGCAGCGATCCGGGGCACAGGGGGAAGTGCCGGATGCCTTCTGCTCCTCCCTTTGGTTTGGTTTCCTCTGTTTACAAGGCACTGTGGCGGGGGGGAGCCCCTCGGCTGCCCCACGCCTGCAGGGCCCGGCTCCACGTGCCATCGCGCAGCATCACCCGTCCTACCATGGCTTTGTATTGTAGCACCCACCCCGCGCAGTATGTGTTGAATGTATATTAATGCCCTTTGCTCTTCCTCCTGGGTTTTGGAAATGTCAGAAGTATTTTTTTGCCTTCCTCCCTCCCTCGTTTCTGTTGGACTAAACCAAACCCAAGTTTCGGTAACTCTTCGGTCCATTTCTTCTGTGGGTCACTTGCAACTCGTCACTTAGTTGGACAGTGGGATCATGACAAATAAAACCATGATGATGATCTGCCCTCGTCTCCTCTCTGGTTGCTCAACGTGGCCGCGTGGGTGAATGCTCAAGGTGCAGCAGCCTCCTCCTTGCCAGGGCACTGTGTGCAGGGCCCTCGGCCCCCCTGCACAGCCGCTTCTACCTGCTGCAAGCCGGGATCAGTGTTCCTCCCTTTCCTGCCCTGCTCTATCCGTCGGGATGCAGCATGGAACCCACTCTGCATCCTTCCCTGTGCAGGGAAACGCGGTGTTGCAGATCAAACCCATGGTGCTGAGCGCATCCGGGAGTGGGGCAGCTCCGGGGGGAGCACATGAGGGAAGGAGGGTGCAGTGCCCAGTGAGCCAGCCCAGGCGTGGGGCTGTGCCAGTGCTTCCCCTGGCATTACCCAGCCTGTTCTGCTGCTGCGCCCCTTGCTCCCCTCGCCCAGGCTCCGTTCATGTGGATGCCTTTGGGCACAGCTCCCAGCACCTCTGCCCTGGGGACCCATCGGGACGGGGGCGCCTGGGTCCCCCCGCAGAGGACGAGGGTCTGGGTCCGAGCGGGCGCAGACCTTGTCCCGGGCCCGGGGCCAACCCCCGCGGGGCTGCCGGGAGGCCCCGGCCGCAGCCAGGCAGGAATCTGGGTCAGCGGGAGCGTAAACAGCTCCTTGGCCCGGCCGGGGAGCTCCTGTTTGCTCGCGGCGCTGCCAAGCGCGCTCCTCGGCGCGATCCTTGAACTCTCCGCGCCACATGGGCCGCGCGGGGAGCGGTTTCTTGGGCTGCTCCGCCGCTTATCTCCCCCGGGAACGGCCCCTCCGGCATAAATAGCGGCCGCGGGGCAGCGCGGCTCAGACGGGACGAGCAGCAGCGGGACCGAGCCGGTGAGAGCCTGCGCTGCCCCAGCCGCTCCGCAGCGGGGACGCAGCGGCGGTGCCCGCCCGGCGCAGCCCCCACGGGAACCCCGCGGGGCCGGGATGGGGGCTCGGGTCTGCCGGGGGGGGGGTCCCTGAACCCGACTCTGTTGCTCTGCCCCCAGGTTCAGCGCCAAGATGAGAGCCGTGGTGGTGGCCCTCGCCCTGCTCTGCCTGACGGGTAGGTGCTCAGCGGGCTGCGGCGGGGCGGGGGAGCAGCCCCAGTCCCTGCGGGACACAGCGAGATGGGGCAGCAGAGCCTGATGCTGGGAGCTCTGGGCTGCAGCCGAGTGGCTCCCGGTTCCCACCGAGCCGGGCAAGGCTGGAGCCGTCCCTGCACTCGGTGCGTCCTGATCACACCGTGCTCCCCCCGCAGGCACCCAGGCCCGCTCCTTCTGGCAGCATGACGAGCCCCAGGCGCCCCTGGACCGCCTCAAGGACATGGTGGAGGTGTACCTGGAGACCGTGAAGGCCAGCGGCAAGGATGCCATCTCCCAGTTCGAGTCCTCGGCCGTGGGCAAGCAGCTGGAGTAAGTGGGGTCCGGAGCGGCGGGGGGTGATGCGGGGTGCCTGGGTGCCGTGTGTGACCTCCCGCTGCTCCCTCCCCATAGCCTGAAGCTGGCCGATAACCTGGACACGCTGGGCGCAGCCGCCGCCAAGCTGCGGGAGGACATGGCCCCCTACTACAAGGAGGTGCGGGAGATGTGGCTGAAGGACACGGAGGCTCTGCGCCAGGAGCTGACCAAGGACCTGGAGGAGGTGAAGGAGAAGATCCGTCCCTTCCTGGACCAGTTCTCTGCCAAGTGGACGGAGGAGCTGGAGCAGTACCGGCAGCGCCTGGCGCCCGTGGCGCAGGAGCTGAAGGAGCTCACCAAGCAGAAGGTGGAGCTCATGCAGGAGAAGCTGACCCCGGTGGCCGAGGAGGCGCGGGACCGCCTGCGCGGGCACGTGGAGGAGCTGCGCAAGAACCTGGCCCCTTACAGCGACGAGCTGCGGCAGAAGCTGAGCCAGAAGCTGGAGGAGATCCGCGAGAAGGGCATCCCCCAGGCCGCCGAGTACCAGGCCAAGGTGGTGGAGCAGCTGGGCAACCTCCGCGAGAAGGTGACGCCGCTGCTGCAGGACTTCAAGGAGCGCCTCACCCCCTACGCCGAGAACCTCAAGGCTCGCTTCATCACCCTCCTGGATGACCTCCAGAAGAGCGTGGCCTGAGCCGCTGGCCAGGACTGACCCCGCCTGCTCCCTGCCCTGCCCGGTGCGGGAGCCCTGGGACCCCTCCTCGCCCTGCCGCTGCCTCCCCCCCGTCCCCGAACCGGTGTCGGTCTCAGCTTTGCTTCCTTTTGTCAAATAAACGTCACTTAAGTTATTGGAGCTCGCTCAGTCTTTGCAGTGGATGCTGGAGGGGGGCTCGGGCAGGGAGGGAATGGGGGGCGCTGGGTTCTCCCTACCACTGAGGTGCCCCACTCAGAGCCAGGATCGGGTCACTCCCCCTCCTGTGCCTGCCCGCAGCAGGGGGGAGCAGCGCATCCATCCCGCCCCTCCTCACCCCCAACGACAGCACCACAGCCGCTTGTTTCAGCTCTGCTTTATTGCCAGCACGGTGACATCGGGAGGGGATCGGGGGGTCCCCATCCCGTCCGCCCCCCCCGGCGCTACGCAGCCGATGTCCCCTTCCAGAGCTGCACCAGCCGCTCCTTGAACCGCGCCAGCCGCTGCTTCGCCAGCTCCGCGTTGTCCGAGAGCCACCGCCTGCAGGGACAAGGGACGGGGTCAGCGCCGGCTCCCGATGGTCCCCGTGGCATCGGGGCGGCGCGGGGGGGGGCACGGGGGTACCTGGCCTGCTGAGCCACCTCCGACTCCTGCACCCTGCTCAGGGCGCTCCTGGCCATGGCCGATGCTTTCTGCGCGTACTCCTGCATCTTCCGCACCAGCTCCTCGGGCTCCCCGGGCTCCCCGGCCCCTGCAAGCACAAGTGTGATGGGATGCTGCCATAGGCTGTCTATAGGCACTATAGATATGAGCATCTATACACCCCGAGCCCGGCCCCAGCCCCCTTACTTGCTTGCGCTGCCAGGACAGCCGTGCAGGCGAGCAGGAGCAGCAGGGACACCCTCATGGCTGCGGAGAGAGCAGAGCACACGGCATGAGGCGGCCCCACGGGGGTCCCAACCCCGTCCCCTTCCCACCGCGACCCTCACCAGGGCTTCCCCACTCACCTGAGCCGGTCTCTGGGACTGGGGCAGCCCCGGTCCCACTTTATACCCTCGCACCGCCGGCTCCGGGGCTTGTGCAAAGGTCAGGGGCTGGCCGGGAAGGGGCCGCGGGGCAGGGACTTAGCGGTGCCAGGTCCGTAACGGAGGGGCTGCCCCGGCCGGGAGCCTGGAAATTCCCTAGGGAACAAGGCACGGGGCTCTGCGTGTGTCTGCACATCGGGTGCGTGTGTGTGCATGTGTCTGTGCATGTGTGTGCATGTGTCTGTGTATGTGTGCACATCGGGTGCATGCGTGCGCACAGGCCTGGGGCTGTGGGCACAGCACGAGGGTGACATCCAGTGGCCCCGGCCCCGTGGGGCTGCTCCAGCCCTGGGGCACCGCGGGGGCTCCTTGGACCTTGGCACCACCGCTCCCGGCTGCTCCCTGCCCCTGCCAGCCCTGCCCTTCGCCCCAGCCCTGACACATCAGCACCGGCTGCAGCACGGAGCCGCGACACCGCAGAGCCCGATGCTCAGGGCCAGGGACACGGGTCCCAGGCTGGTCAAGGGCAGACCCGCACCCGCAGCATCCCGCAGCAGCAGGGTCCTGCCTGTGCTCAGAGGGAGTGATGTTATCTGCTCATGTGCCTCCATGCATCCACCACAGCATCCCCTCAGCCCATGCCCTGTCCCATTGAGCATCCCAGGTACCACACAGCCGACACCAGAGGGTCCATCACTGCATCCTATGGAGCTGGGGGCTGCTCTTGGGTCCCTGTCCTGGGATGCCTATGTGCATGTACCCCCATCCCTCGCTGCCCTTGTCCCTGGCACCCCGCTGGGAGCTGTCAGGGCTGTGGCTGATGTCAGGGCTGTGCACACGTCAGGCACCTCCACGTCGCGACCTTGCTAAAGTCCAAGCCTGAGGCTGTGTCCCAGCCCTGCGTGGAAGCCACTGAGGGCACTCAGGCTGCATAAATAGGGCCGGTGCTCCCCAGCACAGCAGCACAGCAGCGCAGGACCGCAGTGGTGGCAGTGCAGGTGAGTGGCTGGGGACAGTGGTGCCTGCACTGCCTGCAGTGGGGCAGGCAGCAGGGACTGGGGCTGCTGCCATGGGGCTCCCTTCATCCCTGCTCCGTGTCCCTGCAGGCATCCCCAGCATTCAGGATGTCTCCCAAGGCGGCCGCCCTCGTCCTGGTGCTCCTGGTGGTGTCAGGTGAGGCAGTGTGTGGGCTTGGGATGCCAGGATGCTGTCCTGCCCTAGGGCATGGATAGGGATGCGCTGTCCTATGGGAATGGGGTTGTGGCAGCGCTGATCCCAACCTCTGGATGCAGGAGCCCAGGCTGATGTCAACCCGGACGAGGTGGCCAGCGTGCTCTGGAAGTACTTCACGGAGCTGGGCAGCAATGCCAAGGACACGGTGGAGCAGCTGCAGCAAGCCGAGATCACCAAGCAGCTCAAGTGAGCAGGGCTGTGGTGCTGGGGGGATGCTGGGGGGGGGGGGGCGGGCAGGGGGCTATGGGCACACATGGGGGGCTCTGACACCCGCCTGTCCCCAGCACCCTGCTGGGGAGCAACCTGCAGAGCGTGAACTCGTACGCCGAGGACCTGCAGCGGCGCCTGGTGCCGTTCGCCACGGAGCTGCAGGCGCGGCTGGCGCAGGACTCGCAGCGCCTCAAGGAGCAGATCCGCCGGGAGCTGGCCGAGCTGCAGGCCAAGCTGGCGCCCTACGCCGACGAGGTGCACCAGCAGATCGGCACCAACATCCGCCAGCTGCAGGCCAGGATGAGCCCCTACGCCGAGGAGCTGCGCTCGCAGGTGGACCGCGGCACCGGGGACCTGCGGCGGGCGCTGGAGCCCTTGGCAGCCGAGCTGCGGGCGCGGCTGCAGGGCAGCACCGAGGACATCCAGGCCTCGCTCAGCCCCTACGCGGAGCGGCTGCAGCAGCGCATCGACGGCGGCGTGGAGAGCCTCAAGGAGCGCCTGGCGCCCTTGGCCGAGGAGCTGAAGGCGCAGGCGGGCAGGAGCGTGGCGGAGCTGCGCCGGGGGCTCAGCCCCTACGCGCAGGAGGTGCAGGATGGGCTCAACCACCAGCTCGAGGCGCTGACGGCGCAGATGGAGCGCGCGGCCGAGGAGCTGCGGGCGCGCCTGGAGGCCAGCTCGGAGGAGCTGCGGGCTCAGCTCTCGCCGCTGGCGCAGGAGCTGCAGCGGGCGGCGGGCGGCGATGCCCAGGGCCTGCGGGAGCGCCTGGCACCGCTGGCGCAGGAGCTGGATGAGCGCGTGGGGCAGACGCTGGAGGCGTTCCGGCAGCGGGCAGCGCCCTTCGGGGAGGCGCTGGGGCAGCAGCTGGTGCAGCGCCTCGAGGCCATGCGGGGCAAGCTGGAGTCGGGCGCGGCCGGCGTCGAGGACCACATGGAGCTGCTGGAGAGGGAGGTGCGGGACAAGGTGGCCGCTTTCCTCAGCACCGCGCAGCCCGCGGCCGACTGAGCCCCTGCTGGCGCCCGGCACGGGGCCGGCTCCTCGCAGCACGAATAAACCCATGTGTGTGATGCACAGCCTGCTCCGTGTCGTGTTCTGGCCTGGGGAGGGCAAACAGGGGCACAGCATCACCCCCAAGCTGCGGCCCAGGGCAGCCGGGAAGGGAACAGAGTGGGTCCAGGCAGGCAGGGATCTCATTACAGCACGGGGATGGGGGTGGATGCAGCCACCATCAACCAGAAAGGGGTCAGGGACCAGGACCTCACCACTCAGGGGTGCCCCAGCAACAGGCAGCATCCCACATACAGACATACAGTGGGGCCTGCTGCTGCTATGGGGTCCTGGGCTATGCAGGCTGCACCGGGTGGGTGATGGACACAGCATCCCCACAGCCTGCAGGGACTGTGGCTGTAAGCAGATGGGTAGGGAGCAGCTGAGCCCTGGCATGGGGGTGCTCCCAGGGGTGACCCCGTGTGTCCACACAGGGAGGGATCAGGGTGGACTTTGGTGCCAAAGAGCACCGGTGACTGCTCGGAGCTTCACCCCAGCACCGCGCTGGACTTCGCCCCCTGCCCCAGCCCCGCACCCTGACCCATGGGGAAAACCTGCCCCCGTTTGCTGGGCTGCTTGGCTGCAAACATTGCAGCACCCTCCTGGTTTAAAAGCCTGGTGTCAGCACCCAGCTCCCCGCACGGGGCTGTGACCCAGGCTGAAAACGTGGCTGCTTTTTCCTGGGGGAAAGGCGACAAGAAGGGAACCACACCAAAACGGGCGGGTTTGGTACCCCAGCGGGAAGCAGGGATGCTCGATGGCAAACAGGCAGCCCCATGGTGGGCACCGTGCTCGTTTCACCCTTCCCCGTCACAGATCCTCCTGCCCCATCCCAGTGCCGTGGGCTCCATCACACCTGCAGCCACAGGTGTCCCCTATGGTGCTGCAGCTCTGCCCCAGGCTGCAAAGGGCAGGGGCAGGATGAGGCCGGAGCAGGGCACTCAGGTGACCCCCACGTGAGCCCTCAGGCACGGCCGCAGCCTCCACGTTGTGTTTACCCGAGTGAGGTCCAAAAGACCTTCCCCTGCACGTGTATAAAGGGAGCCGCGGGCCGGCGGCGCCGCACGGACACGGGAGGCACCGGGAGCCGGGTGAGGGGCACCTCCTGCCCGTGTCACTTGTGTGGGTGCCCTCCTGTGCTGGCGGCGCTATGGGGGACCCCGGGGGAGAGGTCCCTGTGGGGCACAGTGAACGGGGCAGGAAGCGCAGGGAGCACTGACCCACGAGTGCTCGGGGAGCCCTGCGCTGATGCGCTCCTCTCTCCTTCCTCCCGCAGCACACGATGCCTCCGGAGGCTGCGCTGCTCCTCACCCTCCTGGCCACCATCCCAGGTAGGTGCAGAGCGGAGGAGCTCGCTCAGGGATGAAGGGGGCAATGGGACGGGGCAGAGGCTGGGTGCTGCCATGGTAACGCTGCCCCCCTGCCCGCAGCGGCGCCGGCCGAGCCAGCAAGGAGCAGCTTCTGGGAGTACCTGAGCCAGCTGACGAGTGACAAGGACAGCCCCGAGCATGGGCAGGGCAGCAAGCTGGGCAGGGGCATGGCGTGAGTACAGCGGGTAACCCCTGCAAGCCCCCAGCACGCTGGGGACACAAAGGCTCATGGAGGCTGTCAACAGCTTTAGTGTGTGTGTTTGTGCGTGTTCGGGTGCTCACAGCGGCTGCTCTCATGCAGGACCCCGAAGGGAAGCGCCCAGGATGGGGTGAGCTACATGGGGCACTTCCTGGAGAAGCTGGCGCCCCTGAACCGAGGGCTGCAGCCGCGGCTGTCGCAGGACTCGGAGAGCCTCAGGAAGCTCATCCGGAAGGAGCTGGAGAGCCTGCGGGTGAAGCTGTCGCCGTACGTGGACGAGGTGCACCACAGGGTGGGCAGGCACCTGGAAGAGCTCCGCTACCGCCTGCAGCCCTTCACGGAGGAGCTGCTGGACCAAGTGTCCCTCAAGGCCCGGGAGCTGCGGCGCCACCTGATGCCGAGCCAGGAGGTGACGGCTCAGCTCCTGGGGGGGGCGGACGAGGTGCAGCGCTTCCTGGCTCACTACAGCGACAAGATCGCGCTGCACACGGAGCAGGTGAAGGGCATCTTCCACCCGTACGCGGACAGGCTGGTGACCGAGATCCACCGCAACGTGGAGGAGCTGCACCGCAACGTGGTCCCGCACAGCCAGGCCAGCCCGGAGCAGCTCAACCAGTACATCCAGGAGCTGTCCTCCAGGCTGACCCAGAGCGCCAGGGACCTGCACCACAAGATCCAGAGGAACCTGGAGCAGCTCAAGGCCAAGCTGAGCCTTTACCCCGGCAGCCTGCGGGAGCCGCCGCCCACCCCGGAGCGCTACAGAGAGGCGCTGGCGCGGGAGGTGCAGCGCCGGGTGGACGAGTTCCGGCGGGACACGTACATCCAGATCCAGGACTTCACCCGCGCCCTGGACCAGGAGACGGAGGAGATGCGGCTGAAGCTGTCGGCGCGGGTCCCGGGGGACACGGAGGGGGACCCGCCGCCCGTGGAGGACCTGCACGCCCGCCTCGATGCGCTATGGAAGGACTTGTCCCGCAGCCTGGGGGAGCGGGGCGGCGCTGGAGAGGCCGGGGCCGGGACCGGGATCGGGACGGGGATCGGGACCGGGATCGGGATCGGGGTCGGGGAGGGCAACGGGACCGGGGCACCATGAGCACCAATAAAGGCGCCGCCATGTTGGACCGTGCCGCTTCCTCACGTGACCGCGCGCCGCCCCACGTGACGGCGGGGCAGCATGTCGGCGCTGGGCGCGGTGGAGGCGGCGGGCGCCGGGTCCCTGTTCCGGCCGCTGAGCGCTGAGGACGGGGAGCAGCGGCCGGCGGAGATCGAGTCCCTGTGCATGAACTGCTTCTGCAGCGTGAGCGGGCCGCGCCGGGCACTGCGGGACCGAGCCGGGCACTGCGGCCTGCGCGGCGCCTGGGGCCGGGGCAGGGGAGCGGGTGCGGGAGGCAGGAAGGGGGGTGCGGGAGGGGGATGCAGGGGGGTGCAGGAGGCAGAGCGGGGCCCAGGGCCCGCTGTAGGGTTGGGTGCTTGGCGGTGTTGGCAGGCGCCGGGCCCGCGGGCAGCGCAGCCCCAGGAGCCGGGTTCCCAGCAGCCCCGTCGTGCCGCAGGGGGTGACGCGGCTCCTGCTCACCAGGATCCCGTTCTTCAAAGAGGTCATCGTCAGCTCCTTCACCTGCGGGAGCTGCTCCTGGTCCAACACCGAGATCCAGTCCGCGGGGCGCATCCAGGAGCAGGGCGTGCGCTACACCCTCACCGTCACCTCCCGGCAGGTGAGCGCTGCCTCCCTGCGCACCCCGCGCCTCACCCCCGGCTCCCGGTGCAGCACTAAAGTGTGCCTGGTGTGCGCTGTTCGAGTGTTACCGGTGTGTGTTGGGCAGTGTTTACATCCCCAAGCGGGCACATTCCCGCTGTGCCCCTGGGTGCATCGAGGCTGCTGAAGCCTGGGGCTCACATAGGCGCCGTGTACCCCAGTGGGGTCCCGCAGTCCTGGTCCCATCAGGGTCCTAACGCAGCTCCTCCACTGTTGTCGTGTGCAGGACCTGAACAGGGAGGTGGTGAAGACCGACTGCGCCACGGCTCGGATTCCAGAGCTGGACTTTGAGATCCCTGCTTTCTCCCAGAAGGGAGGTGGGTAGGGGGGCTGTGTGGGGAAGCACCTGCCCTTGCTCCATTGGGTCACATCGGCGTGGTGGGGCCTATGTGTGGCACTCTGCGGTGTGTCTAACAGCACCTTGCTTGTGTTCTCTTTCCTTCTCAAGTCCTTACCACCATTGAAGGGCTCATTGACAGAGCTGTGGCCGGCCTGGAGCAGGACCAGCCTGTCCGCAGGGTACGTGCTGGAACAGGAGGCTTCTTGGCAGTGCTCGTTGTGCTCATCTTCTGTGTTGTGCACTGCTGGTGGAGGAGTGTTCTGGGTACTCTGGTTTGTGCTGGTGCCTTCAACTGCCTGCTCCAGCACTGGTCTCAGACCTCTCCTCCTTTGCAGGCAACAGACCAGGAGGTGGCCATTAAAATAGATGAGTTCATTGGGAAGCTAAAGCAGCTGAAAGAAGTGCATTCCCCCTTCACCTTTGTGAGTCCCTGGGGATGCATCCCCTTTCCCCCCGGGGGAAGCATGGGATGGGTTCCTAAAGCTTTGTTCTCCCATAGATCATCGATGACCCCTCAGGGAACAGCTTTGTGGAGAACCCTCGTGCGCCGCAGAAGGACGATGCTCTGGTGGTCACTCACTACAGGAGGAGTCCCCAGCAGGCTGCCATGCTGGGGCTGGAGGTAATGGGGAGCTGCTCAAGCTGTGCCATCACCCCCCTTGTCCTCCGGGAGGCTCTGAGTTAAGGAACAGGAGTTAACGCTGCTCCTGTCCCCTGCTGCAGGGAGAGGAGTTGGATGAGAAGCCAGATGATGCTGCAGAGGACCTGAGGAATGAGGTGAGTGACTGCAGTGGTGCCCATGCCAGGGGGGCCGGTGCCTTTGGGGTACATGGGCCTTTCTGATGCTCCTCCGCCCCAGGTCCTGCAGTTCAACACCAACTGCCCCGAGTGCAACGCTCCAGCCAACACGAATATGAAGTTAGTGCGTATCCTTGGAGTGAGGGCATGGATCATTGCCCCCTGTGGGGCCCTGCATGGAGGCAGCAGTGGGGAGAGTCCCATGTGTGCTGTTCCTGCTGCATAAGGAGCCTCTCAGGGAGCCAGTGCTGCTCAGGACTTGCCCATGAGCTCCTGCAATGCCTCGGGAAGGACTGAGGCTGTTGGGATCTCTGAGACTTCCCTTTCCTTGGGTTTTCCTTGACTGTCTGCTCCAGAGATCCCACACTTCAAGGAGGTGATCATCATGGCCACAAACTGTGACTCCTGTGGCCACAGGACGAATGAGGTGAGCCCTGTGCGCTGGGGGGCAGTGGGCTTCTCACCTTCCATGGGTAGGTGTTTCCAGGGTCCCTGCCCTCCAGGCTGGATTCATGGCTGAGGAGCATTGTGCTGGGGGTGGCAGAGCTGTTCCTGGGCAGGGGTAGAGCACACACGAGCTGTGTGCAGGCTGCGTGTGCAGCGTGGTCAGGCTGGGTCTGAGTTGCCTTCCTGAGCAAGGCAAGGGGAGAGCTGGGTCCTGGAGAGCTCGGTTTGGCCATGTCCATGCCTGCTTCAGCCCCCTGGGTTAAGGCACTGTCCCTGGGCTTGGAGTGGCCTCTGGGCTGCTGGGTAAACCCTCTCAGAGCATTGGGGTGTGGCTTAAGTATGGGGTCTGTGAAGGTGACTGTGGGTGCTCGTAGGTGAAGTCTGGAGGAGCCATCGAGCCGCAGGGCACCAGGATTACCCTGCGGATCACAGACCCCTCTGACATGACAAGGGACATCCTCAAGGTGCAGTGCCTCTGGATACCTGCCCTGCCCTGGAGCTGGTGCCTGGGGCTCAGTGGCCCCGTGGGGCTCACTGGGTTCTTCCTCTGCAGTCGGAGACGTGCAGTGTGGAGATCCCGGAGCTGGAGTTCGAGCTGGGCATGGGAGCGCTGGGGGGGAAGTTCACCACGCTGGAGGGGCTGCTGAAGGACATCCGGGACCTGGTGAGTGGTGCTGGGGGTTCAGCCCCTCTGCGGAGCTGGGGTCTCACACTGCACTGAGAGTTCCTGCTCCTCCAGGTGGAGAGGAACCCCTTCACCCTGGGGGACAGCTCTACACCCAGCAGGACCGGGAAGCTGCAGGAGTTCATTGGGAAGCTGCAGGAGGTGAGCGCGCTCCTGAATTTACCCAGCCACTGCTGTGGTTTAACTGAGGGCAATGCCAGGAATGCCTGGAGCGTGCTGGGAATGGCCTGGTGCCAGGAGTGAAGGGTTAAGAGCACTAATGCCTGGATGTGCTCTCTTTCCACAGGTCATAGAGGGAAAGGTGAAGGCTCACCTCATCCTGGATGACCCTGCAGGCAACAGCTACCTTCAGGTACAGTGGGAGATGGGCTCCTTGACGTGTTGCAAGCAGTTTGGGTGGAATTCCTTTATTTCCCTTTGGGGGTCTGGCAGTGAGCAGGGAAAGGGAACTGCTGGTGGCTTTGAGGGAAGGAAGATGGGAATGGTGTCTGTTCCCTGGAATCGGGCTGGGAATGTGGTCTGGTTCACATGAGACCCTTGAGAGGGTGACTCTCATCCGAAGCCCCTGTGTGGGTGCTGCTGAGGGGTCAGAGCCTGTAAGGAGCCCCCATCTCCCCCCACAGAATGTGTACGCTCCGGAGGAGGACCCGGAGCTCCGAGTGGAGCGCTACGAGCGGAGCTTTGAGCAGAACGAAGACCTGGGCCTCAACGACATGAAGACGGAGGGCTACGAGTCGGAGGGAGCCTCGGGCCGGTAGCCGGACCTGTAAACCTCGATGGAATGGGACTTTCTGGGGCCAGAGCCCCTCTCCCTGCCTGGGACACCCTTATCTCAGTCGGGGGGCGCTGTTGGGTCGCCTTATCCCATTTGGGGGTCGCCATGGGGACTCATGGAGCCGGTGGGGTCCTGGGGGCCCCCAAATAAAGCCGCGTGTTGAAGGAGGTGCCGTGTCCGACCGTGATGGCCCCGCCCACCACCGCTAACCACGCCCACAAACCGCTAAACCCACGCCTGCTACCAGGCCACGCCCCCTCCGGCGCCGCGTACCAGCGCGCTGACCTCACTTCCGGTTGGCGCCAAGATGGCGGCGCAGGGGCTGTCGAAGGCCGAGTACCTGCGGCGGTACCTGAGCGGCCCGGCCGCCGCCGCCGCGCCCGCCCAGCCCCGCCGCCGCCGCAGGAAGAAGCCGCCGGGCGCGGCCGGCAGAGGCGGGTGAGTGGCGGGGCAAGGGGACGGCGCGGCCGGTGCCAGCCGCGGCCTTTCCGCAGTGCCCGAGGCGGGCCGCGGCCTGGGCGCTCCCGCGGAGCCCGCTTCGCTGACGGCGACCGGGGCCCCGTTTCCCGCTCGCAGGATGCGGATCGTGGATGACGACGTGAGCTGGAGCAGCATCGCTGCGGGCCACGAGAAGGAGGAGGAGGAGGAGGACGAAGGGGACATGCCTGTGGTGAGCGGGAGGGGCTGAACGCGGCGGCACTGACGCCGGGCTCCTGGCGGGGTCCGGCCCGTGTCTCCCTATGGGAACCTTTCTCGTCGCCTCCTCCTTTGGGAGCGTCTGCAGCAGGGAGGGACGGGTGTTCCTGCGCTAAGCACAAGGGTGAATGAGCTCCCTGCAGGCAGAAGTAGCCCGTTCTTTACTTATATCCAGTCTCACAAGTGCCCGAAGGATGTGGTGAGTCCATACAGTGGTTCTCGGGGCTTTAAAGCAGCTCTGGAGGCAGGGCAGAAGGTAGCTGTGCCGTTGGTGGGAATGCTGGCAGCAAGGAGGTTCTTCAAGGGCAGAGGCTCTGGGAAGTGGAACGATGGTCCCACAGCAGTTCTCAGTGCTGTTAGGGGTAATTCTTTGTGCCAGAGGGTAGAAATCTGTTCTTTCTCCCCCTCCAAAGCTGCTTTTCTGTGTTCAGGTGGCAGAATTTATTGACGAGCGTCCGGATGAGGTGAAGCTCATGGAGGAATTCCGAACAAATGCTAAATGGAAACTCCTTGGAGGTGAGACCAGACCAAAGGTATCTGTATCCTTGGAATGCTGATGAGAGCATGGGCTCTGCAGCTCCCTGGTGATGGTGTCTTTCTGGTTGTTCTCCTTTAGACCAAAATGAAGACTCGCAGAGTTTGGATGTTTCAGTCGCTGCCAAATCTGCCCCCAGGTACAGGCTCCAGCTGAGAATCCTTCTGTGGGTGAAGTCCTTTTTCCTGGTGGTGCCTCTCTTTTACTGCAGTTTCTAAGAGCTTTGTTGTGAAGTGTGAGAAGTGGCAGGGACAGGGATTCCCTTTCCCGTGCTGGGGGACCGGCAGCAGCGCTCTGGGTTTCGGTGTGATAGGTGTCCCTGCTGTCCCACAGGGGCAGTGTCAGGGATCTGGGTGAAGCCTCTTCTGAAAGCACCTGTGGGATGTTGGATGGGGCTTGGAGCAACTTGCTCTAGTGGAAAGTGTCCTTGAGTATGGCAGGGGTTGGAACTGGATGAGCTTTAAGGTCCCTTCCAACCCAAACCATTCCCCAACTCATTCTCTGTTCTGTGGTTGCATAGCATCCAGGCTCTCTTGTTTTCACCCTTGATCCCTACTGCTGCCTTTACAGATCCCGCTTGGGTTTCATTTCCAGCTTGGAGGCAGCAACCAAACACAGCTCTCACTCTGGTTCCCACCTTTGCCTCTCCTGGCAGGCGGCAGCGCCACGACTCCCCGGAGGGCTCCCCTGACAGAGCGCCTGTGGGCCCGGATCCAGCCCTCACCGGGCAGGACAGGAACAACTGCAGCAGCCTCCTGCCTCCCGGGCGCCGGCGCCACGACTCCCCGGAGCCGTCCCCACCCAGAAAGAAGCGCCACGACTCCCCCGAGCTCTCACCACCGAGGGGGAAGCACAGCGGCTCCCCAGACCCATCCCCACCACGGAGGAAGCGCCACGACTCCCCTGACCTGTCCCCTCCCAGGCAGGAGAGGAACAACTCCTGCAGCCTCCTGCCTCCCAGGCAGCAGCGCCACGACTCCCCTGACCTCTCACCACCAAGGAGGAAGCGCCACGACTCCCCTGACCTCTCCCCACCAAGGAGGAAGCGCCAGGACTCCCCTGACCTCTCCCCACCAAGGAGGAAGCGCCACGACTCCCCTGACCTCTCACCACCAAGGAGGAAGCGCCAGGACTCCCCTGACCTCTCCCCACCAAGGAGGAAGCGCCACGACTCCCCTGACCTCTCACCACCAAGGAGGAAGCGCCAGGACTCCCCTGACCTCTCCCCACCAAGGAGGAAGCGCCACGACTCCCCTGACCTCTCCCCACCAAGGAGGAAGCGCCAGGACTCCCCACCCCCCACCACCCAGGACTCCCCTGACCTCTCCCCACCAAGGAGGAAGCGCCACGACTCCCCTGACCTCTCCCCACCAAGGAGGAAACGCCACGACTCCCCTGACCTCTCCCCACCAAGGAGGAAGCGCCACGACTCCCCTGACCTGTCCCCTCCCCGGCGGCAGCGCCACGACTCCCCAGATGTGTCCCCAAAGAGGGGCAGTTCAGCATCAGGGAAGAGGAGCTGCAAGCCCACAGACAAGGCACAGTCAGGAAGGGCCCCAGGGGAGCAGCCTCAGCCCCGGCACGGTGTCTCTGACAAGTCCTCATCACGCCAGAAGCGCCAGGCCACCCCAGACCTGTCCCCTCCACGCAAGCAGAGGTACAGCTCTGACTCGGATTCCTCACCGCCCCGGCAGAAGAGGACAGGGTCACCCAGCCTGAGAAAGCAGAGTAGGACAAAAGGTGAGTGTGTGTAGGAGTTTGTCCTGTCTGTCCTGTGCTTTGCTGCCTGCCCACTCTAGGATCATGTTTGTGTGTGCCTGACGGATGAGTGGTGGGGAATTGGCAGTCTGCAGGCATGGAATGGTGGTGGATAGATGGTAATTTCTGTTGGTACAGCTAGTTCTTTCATCAGCCAGACCAGAACTGAGAGATAACTGGCTAAGGCTTAGGCATGTCCAAAAGGAGACTGGAGTTTAAACCCTGTCTCCAGGCAGTACATGTTTAGAAGGATTCAGAGAATTCCCAGGCTCTTGTCACATACCTGTCTTTGCCCTATAGCATGTCATCTCTTGAGATCTGATTTTCCTAGGAGCTAACATTTTTAGTCCTTTTGTGAGACTGACTCTGCCTACCTCTGGGGTTTGCAGTTAGTGTGTGTCTTTACTGCAGGTGCTTTTCCAGCTACGACACAGCCCAGGCAGGTGCCCTCGCCTCAGAGGGGCCTGAGGCACGACTCTAGCTCCCCATCCCCACGGAGAGGCATCCGGAATGCCCCTGATGCAGAGCGCAGGCTGGGCCGTGTACACAGCGGCTCCCCAAAGCGTGGTCCTCTCAAACACAACCACAGCCAGGCCTCGGACTCGGATCTGTCCCCTCCCCGACGGGCTCTGCCAGCCGGGAAGGAGCAGCACCGCTCCAGGAGCCCCCAGGACCTCTCTCCGCCTCGCCACTGTGACGCCAAGGGATCTCCCAAGAAGGTAGACGTTCCCCTTGTTGCACCTCTGGATCCTGGACAGCTTCAGCCAGCACTGACTGAGACTTCTGTTTGAATTACAGGCAAACACCATGCTTTCGGGGGTCAAAGCTGGCCTGGTGTCAGCTGATGTGCTGCGGAGGGAGCAGCAGGAGCTCAGGAAGCATGAGAGGAGTACCAAGCACTTGGAAGGTAGGGGTGTAAAACACTGCACGAGCACCAGCTCGCTTTCTGCTTCCTGCTCTCAGTTTGTCAGAGCCTGGAATGATTCAGGGGGGAAAATACCAAAGTGAGGGGCAGTTAGTCATGGGAATGTTCCCAAACGTGTGACTTGAGGCATGTGTCCCATCCAGAGGAATCCCGACACACTGAGACCGTCTTCCGAGACAAGTCGGGCCGCAGGAGGGACCTGGCGCAGGAGCGGCTGGAGCAGCAGCAGAAAGCTGAAGCCAAGTCCGAGAGGGATGAGCAGTATGCCAGATGGGGAAAGGGGTAAGGGTCTGCGCTTCCTCCTAGGTGGGGATGGGTCTGGGCAAAGGGGTAAGGGTCAGCTTTCTGCAGCAGCAGAAAGCTGAAGCCAAGCCCGAGAGGGATGAGCAGTATGCCAGATGGGGAAAGGGGTAAGGGTCTGCGCTTCCTCCTAGCTGGGGATGGGTCTGGGCAAAGGGGTAAGGGTCTGCAGCAGCAGAAAGCTGAAGCCAAGCCCGAGAGGGATGAGCAGTATGCCAGATGGGGAAAGGGGTAAGGGTCTGCACAGCTCCCAGCACCGTCTCAGGGCTCTTCGGTCTCTCTTCCAGCAGTGGTGTCACTGTGTTCTGAGTCTGGGTCTGGGACTGGGAGGCCACGTGTTGCACATGCCCTGGAGACCCCTGCAGTTATTCCCTCTGGCTGGATGTGTATTGGGAATGCTGCATACACAGTGGAAGTTCAGGCTGTGATGCGTCTTTCAAGCAGAGCAACTCCCAGTGAGTGATGACTTGGTTCTGTGTTTGTTTCCAGGCTGGCACAGGGGAGGCAGCAGCAGCAGAACGTGGAAGATGCCATAAAAGAGATGCAGAAGCCGTTGGCCCGTTACATTGATGACCAGGATCTGGATCGAATGCTGAGAGAGCAGGAGAGGGAGGGAGACCCCATGGCTGAGTTCATCAAAAAGAGGAAGGCCAAAGAGAACAAAGAGAAGAAAGGTTTGATTCTGAATTACATCAATCTCTGCTTTAAGTCCCTGGCAGCATAAAAGTGAAGCTGCTGTTTAAATGCAGCTTGGTCCTCAAGGCCTACTTTTATGAAGTGAGTGCAGCAGCAATGTTTGTTGCTGCT